TAATTCAATAATTGACAAATTAAAGACTAATTTTATTTTTTAATATAAATTTATAAAAAAATATATTTGTTATACTTAAAATAAAAATTAAAAAAAATCATATTAATATTATTATAATTTATTTCTCTTATATATATATATATATATATATATTTGACAAACCCACACTCAAAAACAAACTGTAAACGAAGACGATCCAAGCATATATCCCGAATCCATTCACAAACAATACTCAAAGATCAAAGATCAACAAAATAGTTTATGAATATTGAGGTGCAGGAAAAATAGCAAGTTCTTACCTTAAAAAATAAGTAGGCATGCAAATTATTGTTGCACAAAAATAGTGAAACTTTAAAATTTAGAACCTGTTTTGTGGTATATATTACATTTAAATTATAAAAAAAATTATAAAATAAAGTCTCAATATTAAGTAACTTAACCCCATATCATAATTGATGTAGTACAATATAATGTAATATAAATTTAGTTGAAACTTCACTAAAATTTCTTGATAGAAATTACAAATCCACAGTAACCGTACCCAGAAACAGAGGTTAGGGCTCCAATTCCACTCTTAGATTCAAGCTCAGAGGAAATCGAGGCCAAAAAAGTCACCAAAATCTCAGAATCAGAGAGAGAATGGAAACCCCCACGGATCTCCTTTTGTGGCTGTCGGCCAACCCCATCCCTTAGTCTCTTTTGTTTACTGTTTTTCATCATATTTATACAAAAATTTCACAAAAACCTAGACTCTCTCACCTTCCCTCATCATCCGTTCAATCTCTCTTCCCTCCATATCCACATTTGCTTGTAAGTAGACAAAATTGATCTAAGGATTTCTGTAACTTGTGTTATCATCGCATGGGAGTTTTACATATATTTTTTTATGTATTAATTTATATAAAAAATAAAAGAAAAATTAACATTAATGTTTATTTATGATATATAAATATTTTTATTAAAAAAATTAATAAAATTAATTCCAATTTTTAATTTTATTATATATATTAAATATAAAAAATATAAAAAATATATTTTTATTCTGTATTTAAAAATACAAAATAAAAAAATCCTTTTACTAAATTTTGGTGCTTGTAGGTTACATTCAATTTTTTAATTTAAAGTCAAATTAAATCAAAATCTATAAAAAAAAATTCTTTTAATATTATAATTTTTTCATTCATAAATTTTAAATTGTAAATTTTATTTTTAAAAAATCAAACTTTTGTCCACTCCGATTGACAAGTTTCGTTCGTACAAGATTAACCTATTGCTTTTCTCCGACAGTTGCTGTGTTTTTCCAAGCGAGGAAAGGACGCGGACTAAGAAATGTGGCTGAAAAGTGGCTATCGGGTTGGAAAAGGAGAAAGGAAGTGGAGGGCATTATTTGCTTTATGTTGTAATTTTGGAAGAACAGCCATAAAAGGTAAGAAAAAAATATTTTGTTTTTTTAATCTATCGAAATTATTTATATATATTAATTGAAAAAAATATATATCATGAAATTTGAACCTAAGGGATGGACAATCTTAATCCAAGATTTATAACACTAAACTAGAATGGACTGTTTAAAGGTAAGAAAATTTTGAGATTAAAGGTTAAGATAATGATATGATAAAAGTTATGATATATAAATTATGTTTTTTAAGATATTAAGAGATTGATTCTGCTACTGGTTATGATAATATATGTATCACTTGATATATAGTAATAGGGTGGTCATATAAAAATATTTTTTTTATAATTTCTTTTAATAAACACTTGCATGTGTGGCAACTATTTCCATCTTTGGGCCTATGAAATATTGAAGTAATTTAAACGATGAGGATCAATTTAAAATGAATTATCAATGCAAAAACCAAATTGAAAGAATTGAAAATGCATGAACCAGATTTTAACAAACTG